AAGAGTGTAACATGTTTTCTATAGAATAGTTTATATTTGCTTCTTCAGTTATTCCTCACTGTTCTGCTGGCAGTGGCCAGCAGAGAAGGCAAGCTAAGGCCCATAATCAGTGCTGAAAGCACTGTGACAGCTCCTGCTTTAAGGGGAAATAGAAGTTTTCTGGCAAGGAGCAAGTTCTTGAAGCAGACTAAAGTGGCATTATAGCTGTATTAGCAAATGCCCTTCTTTTAACCTGGAACAAAATGTCAGTGCAAAGGAGACCCTGCCAGATTAAGTATGGGGCAGCAGGTGGGCTAACAGCTACTGTGCTGGAGGATGCAGAGCAGTGTCTGTAATGTTCCCTTTTATTTCTATCCTCATAACTTCACCAAACACTCACTTTTGGGTGAGAAACTTCCATGCTTGTGTCTTGTATCAGCAAAATGTCTTCACCTTTTTTTTGAGTTCTTTGAGTGTGAATAAAATACATATTTTTTTTTTTAATATATATATTTTTTTTTACCCATTGAAAAAAATTCTGACCATTTTTTTCCACAGGGATAGCTCAAAAACGGCTGAACTTTGAAACTTCAAACGTGGCATGTAAATAGTCCTTAATGAGAAGTACGTGCTTTACTAAGTTTGGAAACAGAAAACTTTGATCCATAGTTATGAGTGCTTGAGAAGATCAGGACTGCAAGTGCAGGAGGAGTTGTGTGTGCGTGTGACTTGCTAGGAGTGTGCACTGGCTGGTGGGGGTAAAAAGCAGAGCTGAGCACATGACATGTCATGAATCATTCAGCTGACAAAGGGAACCTCTGTTCTGCTTGTAGAGTGTCTGGGAGCAGGTAACAGGTGGGAAGGAAATGATGCACTGTGCAGTGTTTTTAATTAATGTGAAGCTGATTATTCTCTGAGTGGGCTGCACTTCACTGAAGGTGCATGATACTTGGTACTCACGTTTCTAATGCTGTGCTGGATTTTATTAGGATCAGTAAGTCACTGTTCCCTGACTGGCTGAATGCACAAGCACTGTTCTGTTCACATGCACATGTAAACTGTTGTTTCCATTTTCACTTGCCTTAAAATTTCAGTTTTCCATCCCTTCATGACAATAAAACACCATCTGCAGAACTTTCACCTCTTCAGTTTCATTTTGAAAACTGGGTGTATCCACAGAATTTTTTTCAGGCATTTATTTCTCTCTGATCAATGGACACCAGCAGTAACTGTGACATGTTGCTCCATTTACTTAGGGAAAACTCACACTGAAGATGAAAATCACCCCTGTGCAGTGGGCTGGCTGAAGGTATGCATCACTTAATCCCCACTTCACCCGGATTGTGAAGGCTTAGGTGGGACATGAATGCTGCTAGTTCTCTGCAGAGGGGTAAATTTCTCCCTGAGCCCAACCAGAGCCTGCAGGGATTGGCCTCCAGTGCCACTGGAGTGTTCAGGCCCCTTGGAAGAGTTCTGATGGTTTAGATGGGGATCTCCCAGTGAGGGCTTCTCACCATCAGAAGGGCTTACCCACCTAGAGGTTTGATACTGACTGAAGCCTTCGGAAGGGTTGGCATCATTCTGAGCCCTCATGAGGTGGTGTGGGAACTGTAAAGCACTCGAGCCAGTCCTAGGAATTAAACTAGCTTAGGTGCTTATGATATATTAAGAATTTAAACTTCCTACGTCCTTGTGACTTCTTCTTGTCCAATACCTTGGGGAACTGAAAACCAGAAGCCCAGAGCCTCGTGCAGCAGTCACACCTGGGAGTGATACAGATTTGCTGGGACAATCTGTATGTCCTTCACCTCATCAGGACTTAAATTTTTACATGGGTGTGTAGTGAGAGGACAAGGGGCAATGGTTTGAAGCTTAAAGAGGGGAGATTTGGGTTAGACATGAGGAGGAAATTCTGTGCTGTGAGGGTGGTGAGAGCCTGGCCCAGGCTGCCCAGGGAAGCTGTGGCTGCCCCATCCCTGGCAGTGTTGAAGGGCAGGTTGGATGGGGCTTGGAGCAGCCTGGGCTGGTGGGAGGTGTACCTGCCCATGCAGGGGGTGGGACTGGATGGTCTTTGAGATTCCTTCCAACCCAAACCAGTCTGGGATTCTATGATTAAAGAGTATCCCTTTTTTACTTGATCATGCCTTGGACTTTAGTTTACTGAGAATTGACCATTGTGGTTTAAGTGAAGTCTTTGGGCTGCAGGAAGGTCACCAGGGGGAAGTTAAATGGCAGAGAAGCAGAGGAGTCAGCAGAAGAGGGAGGGCACACAGGACAGCTCCTGTGCAGCTGGGGGTGCTGGTGGCTGTTGGGTCCTTGCTCACGACCCTGCCTGAAGGGGCAGATGTCAGTGTTGAGCTGTGTGTGTCTGCAGCCCTCAACGGGAAGAGAGAATGGTTTGCCTTTGTGGCTAATCCCTGGTTAGCTCTAAACCTGTGTTAGTCTAATTTCAGCAAATGGACTTCCTGGAGTACAAGTTTTGGGGATATGTGTTCCTTAGAATCATAGAATCATCAAGGTTGGGAAAGACCTTCAAGGTCATCAAGTCCAACCATCCACCCTACAACCCCCAACCACTAAACCATCTCCTGAAACACCAGGTCTGCTCCGTTTTTGAACACCTCCAGGGATGATGCCTCCACCACCTCCCTGGGCAGC